GTACAAAACAAAATAAATGTTACACAGATTCTTGCTCCAACTCACACAACTGAAAAACCGTATAATCCAAGTTAATCCTTTTTTTTGTTGAAAGGCTGAGATAAATCGGAATATGATTAAGGGCGACTCTCGAAAGCAATGTGTTCAAGTAGGAAAAAAATTGTTCCATCTAGTTGACACTTTACTAGTACACAAAATGCGGTTGTCAAGAAAAGCTCTAGCGGAGGAGACCGAAGAACTCCCCACTCAAATCAAGCCCTCAAACCAACCGATCATTTTGTCCGTAAAAACAAAATTCCATAAATCCCCCTCCAAACCAGCCTATTAAGCTTGTTCGACACATCGATCCTCGAGGCTGTCTATGCAAAAATCGAACCTGATCCACTATCGAAATCTCGTCCGCCACAAAACTATCTATCATATAAGCTGAAGCATAAATTCGAGGATATGTATCATTTATATCAAACAATGCCCGATTAATCCACGTATGCGTCCAAAATATAATGCCTTTCTATTTCCCACTCTAATAGTACAAAACTTGTTGAGACTAAAACTTTTTGATTGAAGTTGTGACATAACCCAACCCATGTTAATCAACAGATCACTACACTATTAAGGACATCATTGGCAGCAACATACATATTCTCCGCATGAATATCTTTAATACGATACATATAACTCTAGTTATGTTCTTAGCATTCGTTAAATTTCACAATCAAAGTAACATTTTTTTTTTTTTTTTTTTTGGGTTTTATATGGAGAGGTTGTAGTGAACCGATGCATTGACTCAAAATCATATGCTTCACTCCATGCTCTTGTTAATGGCATTTTCCCACCAATATCCGTGCACGAGGAGGTTTGAATTTCTACAACTTGTCTTTATGCGTCACTCCATCGTATGTTTATTTTTGACTTAATGAACCTAATGGGTTAACTACTTAATATGTAAAATCATACATGGTTGTTTCCTTTTGGCATAATCTAGAAAGAATGAGTTAATGGTTTAAGCCAAAACACATGGCTTAATTAATGTATTAAGAAACTAACCCTTTACCTATTTATCATTCTTCTTTTTCCTCCGAACTCCTGTCATATTAAAATTGATGAATATTAATAAAATTGATAATTATTGTGAAAATCTTTCTTGGAAATGTAAGGGTAAAATGGTCATTTAATCACATACAAACAATTTATTCAGTCTAGAAACGAAACAAGCCTTATGTATACAGCAATACTTTATCTAGACAAACATTTCTAGAAGTGTCGTAATGTTTTATTCGTTGTAAAAGAAAAGTGGAAACAACTCCTAAATTTATGATACATTTTCTTCAGCAATGGATTAATGGTTCATTTCTAGTAGTGTCTTAATGTTTTATTCGTTGTGTTTGTTTGCAGGAGGATTATAACTCATGGAACTTCTGGAAACTTGCACCTCCAAACATGGAGTAACTTGAAAAAAGATGTCCACAAGAATGTAATTACATACTTCCTTTTTCCATTTCACTAGAATCACACAGAAATAGAATTCATTCAAATTAGAAACAGATAGAACCCGAAATTGTCACCGCCATTGAACGTTCTTTTTTCACATAGGCAGACATTGGAATTATTTCCATTTATATAAATTCAAAACACACATCACAAATACGTTTCAGAACTCTTCTTATTTACAGAAAAAAAAGTGAAAGAGATGGTTTTCGAGTGCATCACCATCATGCATGGATCATTTTGGTATGATTCTGATACCCAATTCCTTATGTGCAAACTGTATTAGATTCTCAATCTCACACTCATCAACAAATCCATTCCCGTTTCTATCAGCAGCTTTGATTCCAGCCTTTCCTTTCCAACCGGAAAACCATCCTCCGGTGGCTTTAACAAGCTGCTGGAGCTCGGTTTTTGCTGATTCTGCCATCTTTATCAGTGTCAAACCTCATCAACCATCTCTTAAATTCTTTGATTGTGAGTTCTCGGGTGCCATCATCATCAGAATGTTTCAATAAAGTTGTCTTGAATGCCATGTTTGATTTCTTAGAAGAACAGGTGTTGAGTGATGAGAGTTGTGAAGGAGTTGCTGTAAGTTTATAGTAAGATAATGGAATCGTTGATATGTTAAACTATTCTTCCAACTTGTTTCTTTTTTTCTTTGCAACCACTGAATCTTTTAATGGCCGAAAAGCTTGAACTTTGAAAAGGTTTAAAGGAAGAAGGCAAGTGCAATGCACCTTTTTAAACTATGGGAGTTGGATATTGTATTAAGCTTTTTTTAGGCAGGATCTATCTAGGCATATATGATTATATATCACACGTGCGGGAAACTTATTTTAATTTTTTAAAAAGGTTACATGTATAACCAATGTTTTAAAAACCGGTGTTTTAGTTGAACCGGTATGATGACAGGTTTCCGGTTCAACCGGTTGGACCGCCGGGTCAACCGATTTGTATAATTTTAATTATTTTTCCTATTTTCCTACACATACATACATATATAAATAATAAATTTGACGTTTACAAGTTCAAACATTTAAAATACATATAAAAATAAGTTTTAGATCAATCCAAATACATTAAAATAACACAAAACCATAAATTTAGTGTTTTACATCAATCTATATACGTAAAAATATAAATAAACTATAATATCAAAACAAAATATAGTTTTAGATGAATACAAACAAATCAAAAAAAGTTTAAAACATTTACCATATATTTTTATTTAGAAAAAACTAAATAGATTTGAAAAAAAACACCAAAGTTTATTATGCAAATGACTATTTTCTATGTGTTTTTATTCGGTTTAACCGGTTCAACCGGTTTATTTTGACCGGTTCAACCGGGTTTTTTTTAAAAACAGCCGGTTCAATCCGGTTCAGAAATCGACGTAAAACCGGTGATAGTTGAACCGCTCCCTCCCACAGTTCCCGGTTCAAACCGGTTTTTAGAACATTGTGTATAACTATACTGTTAATTATATATATATATATATATATATAATATATATATAATTATATATATATATATATATATATATATATATATAATCCTGTGACCACTCATGAATAGAAAACTTTTTTACTTTTTCAATTGTTTTTTTTTCAGTTTTCTTCTAAATTGTCACTGTATTTTTCCTTTTTTACTTCTGCCACTAACGTTCCAATCTTTTTCTAATACCACTAATTTTCTTCTTTCATCTTTATTTTTTTTCTTCTTTCCTGTAATACAATTAACATCTAAAATCCATTCACCGGAGCATTGACTTCTCCTAGTTTGAATGAATTGATGATATAAGGCTATGCGGCATGGGCTTTAAAGCCCATTGTGTTATGCTTACATGGCCTCTATGTGGTGTTAAGGCTTGTTGCCCACTCAATTAAAGTATAAATATAACCTGACATCAATTTACTCATATTTTTAATTGTAAAATGAAAAATAAAAAAATTTCTTCTTTTTATGTAGCATTATGTGTTTTTGCCATGCATCAAGTTATAGCAACTAGGGGCGAGCATTTTGGACATCTGAACATGACCGCGAACTAGATCCGAACTTGATAAACCTCAATAAGTCCGATCAAAGATCCATCAATTTCTACCAAACCGGTCCGGAATTTCTACCGGACCGGTCCGGACCAGTCCAAATACCGACCCCTACAGTCATAATAGATAAGCTAACTTTCGGTAGGGTTTCAATGAGTTGTATCATATGCATCTAAAGTTGTATTGGTTCAATAGGTACTAGAAATGGAGAACTATGGAGAACCCGGATCTGGCCATGCCTCAACACAAAGGTTCGGTCTAAGGTCCACCAATTTTGTGCCAAATCGGTCTAGTTCAAGTACACACTCCTAGAAGGAACAACAACAACAGACCCCGTTAATCCTATTAAAATGTATTAGTATTATAGTTCTTTAGAAAAAGTTTGGCACATGGGAATGGAAGTACATGGAATAACAAAATAACATTAGGCAAAACTGAAGCAAAATAGAACAACTTTTATTTATGCATTTAATAAAATTAAAGCATGACAAAACATGATATTAAAAGATGACAAAATACGATGTTAGAAAATGACATAATTTCAAAATTATCAAAATTTTCCCACAAATTGTTCAAAATTCATAAATTCAGACAAATTCTAATACAAAAAATCAACATCACTTCAAAATTAACAAGGTTCTTCCCTCAAATTGTTTAAAATTCATAATAGAAATATCAGTTATAACACAAAATATAACCTACATCATATATTGTCTTCACAAATATTAGTTTGATAAAAACGTCCAAGTCATTCCACACTTACACCTTAGCCAAGTTTTCCGTAAAACCAACTAAAACCATATATTTATTTAGTGTAACCACCCATGGTCCTCAGCTCTTCAACATAGTTTACAAAATCTTCGGATTAAGTGTAGAAGATGTAACAAACAATAACCATTTTTTGGGTTTTCCTCATATACATGCCCTTTTCAATCATCTTTATGATTTCTTCGGATGCAATGAATTTTGCCTTTCTCTTTTTTGATGATTGTCTAACATTTAAGATTGGTTGAAGGTGCTGATAAATCCAGAAAAATGCTTAAAGTTAAATGACTATAATTAAAGTGAGGAAGTTATGACATAACAATTGATATAAAGAACAATAATGAAAGACCAGAAACGTAAGTAAATGAACATCGTAAGTAAACAACGAATAATCTTATATTGAAATAGATTGTATAGCAAGATTGTTGAAAGGTGTAAGGAGAACCACAACCCGGTTCCCCTTTTATAGACACAACCGATGGCATAAGGGTAAATAGTTACTGACAAAAGATAATGAAATGACTACGTGATCTAGTCATTAACCAACAATCATTACAACTCAACAGAAAATAACTTCTATTACAAAAATACAAAACATAAATCAACTTCTTCTGATCTTCACACCTCATTCTGATCATACACCTTCCGAAAACTGAGTCCCTTCGTATACGACAGAATTCGGTAAACAACGTATTGTTGATCTTCAGCGGAGGGTCACTTTCGGGTTCAACAATCTACCCTAAGTGACTGTAGCTGCTATTACTTTCAAATGTCTGAAGTATCATTAAGGGAAATTGAATACGCTTCTGAAAAATCCTCTAACCGCAAACATCCACTAAAGTTGCTTAACAACTTCCATCTTGATGTCAACAGAGGCTTTAAGGGCTTCAAGGACAACTTTCATGAGGCTCTTTAGAAACGAGCTCGAGCACTGATGTTTTTGAGTCAATTAGAAGAACTGTTTTTCTTCTGAGCCATCAATCTGATAGATGATTCCTAGTTTCGGTGTGTCAGTGATTACGAAATCTCGATCCTCAATTCCTTCAAGACTTGAGTCCATCTCTTCAAAATGAGCCATAGGGACTAGAAATTTTATCTCCAAACCAATGGTCGCTATCTCAAGTGTTGTTCATTGGAGATACATTCTGATGGGAATGAGGGAATTTTTGGCCATTTTCTTTAGAAGGGATCCTTCAATTAAGTTTCTTGGCAATATACATGAGATCAGTAGGGTTTTGCGATGGGAAAGTCTGCTTCAGCGAGATAGTATTCTTGTTTATTTGATATTTAAAGATCATAGGAGTAATAATAAGCTCCTTTGAATAAACAAGATTCGAAGCCTTTAACCTTAATTATAACTCTTCTGGACCATCTCATGCCATAAATATTTTGTTGATGCTTGGCATAAAAATTTATTAATCTTTGTCTCTCTTCGTACATAGAATCGCTCCTCGGTTTGAATGATTCCAGAGGGGGAAAGATTCGAAAGTCATGCCTATTTGGAGAGATAGGAAGATCCCATTCAAACTTAGAACTGGAAGGTGCATCGTAAGTTTCAAAAGGAGCAATGCCCTTGTCCTTAATCATTCGAATCACGAACTTCTATGGGCAAAACAGAGGATCCACATCAATTTCTTCAGAAGGAGAGGAACAATTTTCTCGTTGTTAAATTGTTCTTGAAGGAGTGCTGCGGCTAGATGATCCTGATGTTTGTAACGTCCCAAAAATTATGAGGTAAAAATTTCATTTTTAATTTAATCAAAACACTAATTATATTTTATTCAAACATCCGAAAGTATTTCATAATAAAACAGTCATCAGAGTACAATCGCAAAACCATCACAATGCGGAAACATGGGTGGATGCGCTGCAATCATGCCTGTCCCTTCCCTTTCGAACCGAAAGTACCTGAAACCATAACTATAAAAACCGTAAGCACAAAACTTAGTGAGTTCCCCAAAATACCACATACCATACATACAATTAGGCCTAGCCCTCACATTGGGCCCAACCCGCATATTGGGCCCAACCCACCATAATGGGCCTAGCCCTGACAAACCAATGGGCCCAACCTGATCATACAAATGCAAAGTCACAAAGACAGTTAGCACTTACATAACATACAATGGGCCTAGCTCAACATACAAATGGGCCTAGCCCGTCATACAATGGGCTTAGCCCAACATACCATGTAAGAGTCACAAAGACAACTAACATAACATAACCTAGTGGCTCGGTATTGGTGCCTTCGACCCACGAGTACAGTGAGGAGACTCACCTCAATCCGCTGATAATCAAATAACTGCACGGGTCGCTGAACCGGATAACCTCGCACCAACTAACAATAAATACAACCAAAATTAATAATTAACCCAATAACCCAAAATCCAAGGCCCAATCTATAATCCGACTTCCTAAAGGGTAAAAGACCATTTTAACCCTCCCATAACTGGTCCAAACTGAAATGGTCTAACCCCCAAAAGGCCCAAGGCCCAAAAGGCCCAAAATGGGTTCCTGGGGAGTACGCCATGCGTACTCGAAATATACGCCCCGCGTATCGACTGCCGAAACACTAGTTACAAGATAATGATGCGCCAACCATGCATTACGCTGAGCG